AATTTGTTTCCAAATATGTGTCCAACTTAAACAGCTGTAAGTTGAAAATCATGATACAAAAATCGACATGAGCATAAAACCTTTAATTAGCTTTCTGCATGCAGTGCCAAACGATGAGAATAAGGTCAGTGAGAGATCATTTTTCTAGAACCACACAAGCCTCCTCTTCTCTCCCCTCTAAGACCTGGCTCCTTGGCCAGTTCCCTTCCTAAAATCAGGATTCTTCATTCATGTTAAAGTAGAAACCAGGAAGTTAATTTTTGCTACAATGTCAACTGTCAGATCAGGCACCAGCTAAGGCCTTTTTGGATGGTGGGTATCTGATTTCTCATCACTCAATTTTTGTCTCTGCTCTTTCTGAACATCCTGTTTCAAATACAGGCCATTTGTCCTCACTCTTTAGAGCAGGGCTGTTCACCTAGCATCCTGGGATGGTTTGTGGATAAACCATTCACTGAGTCCATGAACTTCAATGGGAATGAAATGATATCTTTGTTTTCATTAACCTCTCACTAAAAACTACATTTCCAGGCTTCCCTGGTGGCTCAGTGGTAAAGGATCTGCCTGCCAATGCAGGGGACACGGGTTTGGTGGCACATCGAAGCTAAGCTGTGTGAATCTAAACAGCTAAGCCCGTGTGCCACTACTGAAGCCCGCACACCCTAGAGCCTGTATTCCACAACAAGAGACGCCACCGCAACAAGAAGCCCTCACACGGCAGCTAGGGAGCAACCCCCTGCTCACTGGAGAAGGCCTGCAGGCATCAGTGAAGACCCAGTGCAGCCATAAATAAAGAAATCTTAAAAAAAAAAAACAAAAACCGTACATTTCCTTCATTTAAGGAGAAACCACAGCAGTAGTAATAGCACCTGACACTTTGCCACCCGTAGAAACCAGTGATCTTTTCATATCACATCTTGGTTGTTGCAGAAACCTTGAAACATCATTTATACTCAGACTACTTTGAAATTACCTTAGTCCACAGAGACACTGCTAGAGTTTGCTATTTAAAGTGTTAATAAACAAACACATATAATATACATCATGCGTTAAAAAGATATTTTGATTACTTTTTGATTACATTTAATATTTCAACTGAATTTCAGTATAGTTGGTTTTCTTTGCAAGATGACATATTTTACTTCATGAGTTTTAAAAAATATTTTGAACCTGTGCAGGGGTCCCTACCCTTCACCAGACTGCCAAGAGGTCTAAGGCACAAAAAAAGAGATTAAGAACCCCTGGTCTTTGGGGGGCACTGCAGAAAACTTCCTACTTGCAGGATGGCAGTTGAGGCCAGATGCTTCTTTTTAAAGGATTTTGGGTGAAAGATTGAGATTCATTACTCAGCATTTACAATGTTGCAATGTGTACTACTAGGCTGTCTCTTAATACTAGGCAGATAAGAACTCTTCTAGGGCACATCCCTAGTGGTCCAGTGGCTGGGGCTCTGTGTTCCCAAAGCAGGAGGTCTGGGTTCAATTCCTGGTTGGGGAGCTAGATCCCATGTGAGGCAACTAAGTGTTGCTGGTCAGCCACTAAAGAACCCACATGTTGCCATGAAGATAGAGAACCCGGGTGCATAACTAAGATCAGGCGCAACCAAATAAGTAAAGATTAAAAAAAAAAAAAAAGAACCCTTCTAGGTGCCAGGAATTTTACTTCTTCTACCCCAAAAGGGCTCATACTTGGCTGAGTTAGCAGTGCCCGCCAGGAAAAAAAAAATGTTTTGAACCATCATTGGTGCACCACTTTCATTTCTGAAGGAAATTGATACCTTCGAACCATGAAACACCAGGCTTTCTATTTTGATGGGGGCACAGGTGTGGACCTGGCCCTCCTCCAGCTCACATACCACAGTTCTATGGCAGTGACCTCCTTGGAGCAGGTTCAGCCTCACGTCTGGAGACAGGACACAGGATTTCTTGCTTCTTGGTCTGGCTGGTGGGTGGCTAAGGATGGGAAAACTCACCCCATGTGGTCAGGCCTGGATGCCCTCCTGGAGAGACCCTGCACTCTTGGTTTACCCTGGAGCCCTCTGAGACCCGGTCACCCTCGGTCAAGTGCACACGTCCTGATCTAGCCTCAGTGTGGATCTGCCTCTGGGTCGAGGGCCCCCTCCAAGGAGAGAGTATAGATGGCAGCAGCTTGCCTCTCCATGGCTCTGAGCGCTTCATCTTGAAGTCTCTCAGGTACACCAAGTCACCCTTCTGGGGCTCATGTAGGGGCGTGCCGAGCCCCACCTCTTACCTGAAGGAGAGCTGGGGGGTGGACAGTGATGATGTGGCCTGGGCTGGAGAGACTGACTGTCCTTCGGAGCCTCTTGGTGAAGACAGCAAGATTTCTCTTCCCTCTCTTTAGCCATGGGGTGGGGTCTCACGTTCTCCATAGCCCCTTCCAGATGAAGCAATCCAGGCGGGTCCAGCAGGGGCCGTACTGTCCTCCAAACCTCAAGCCAGGGATCCCCTGGGCCCCCATCCTCCCCACTCCCATCAATCTATGGATGGTTCCTTCCTCCATCACTGGTCTCCTCCCTGTCCTGGCCCAGTTCATCACTCCCCAGGCATCACTGCAACCTCCCTGGCCTATTTTTGCCCTGTCCAACCCATCCTTGGGGCTTCCCCAGTAGCTCAGATGTAAAGAACCTACCTGCAATGTGCAAGACCCGGGTTTGATTCCTGGGCTGGGAAGATTCCCTGGAGAAAGGGAATGGCAGCCCACTCCAGTATTCTTGCCTGGGAAATCCCATGGACAGAGAAGCCTGGCAGGCTACAGTCCATGGGGTCACAAACAGTCGGACACAACTGGGCAACTAACACTTTCACTTCGACCCATCCTCCCCTCATCCTTAGGCCCCAGGCTGAAGGGTCTAAAACTGACCATCTCCACTCCCATTTCAGACTGGTTCTGGTCCCCACCAAACCCTCCATTTCTGGCCTGGCACTCAAGGCCCTCTCAACCCAGCTGGCCTCATTCTCCCGCCCCCTGCCCCCCCTTACCGGGTCCTCCCACTCACCAGGCATAGCTCATCTGGCTGGCTTCCCACCCAGCTACCCCAGGAAGGCATCTGAAATGCTTGCTGAGGAGCAAAATCTTAATGATGTCGCCATCATCTGTGCAATTGCTATGGTTTCCCCAGCGTCCCACCGAGTCTGGGCTTTCTGGAAGCACCTCTTTGAGTGACAGGCCTGAGGGTCTCACCCTGGCGGTCAGACTGGAGAGCGCCCCTCTTTTCTCTTGACCTCGTGCTGCCGGGCCTCCATACCACACGCCCTGGAGGGCCCTGGGTGATGGCTGTCATCTTTTCCACCGTTCTCCCCTGAATCCACTTTAACCTTGGGGACACCTTGGGAACAGTGCCTGTCATCCATCCTGAGTGGGCACAGACCCTTTCTCCCTGTTTCATGCTCTGGGCCCCCATTTCAGCCTTTGGTGCTTTTTGCTTACTCCCCGGCCCAGATTCCTGCTTTGAGCTCTCAGCTGGTAGATCGTTTCAGGAAGGAGGGACAGACGGCTGAAGAATGGCAGGCCGCATGTTCAAGTCTCCATTCCACCCATGAGGCCACCTCCGAACCCTTCCGCTGAGGCAGCAAGGATGAAGCCTCAGGCTTGGAGGTGATGTCTGGGGCTCGCCCGTTTTGCCAGGGGGGAGACCCCAGCTGATGGAGAGGCAGATGGTAGCCAAACAGAGCTCTCACCAGCCCCGTCCTCTGCCCAGCCTGACCCTCACCCCAAACCATGGCTCTATGGGATGGGGGCTTGCACTTGGCCTGGTATAGACCCCAACCCCCCGGGGCCAGGGGCAAAAGCACAGAGGGGTTCCAACCACAAGGATGGGGATACCAGAAGCTGAGTTACGGGCTGTTTTGAGCACCAGCCTGGTTGGTACTCCCTCACCGTGGTGGCAGGAGTGAAGCCAGGTCACTTCCTGGTCATCGTGGGAGTAGGGACTGGGTAACTCAGGCAGCAAAGCTCTGGGTGCCCCCCAGGGGTGCTGCAGCCCCGCATATGGGGAAGGGCTTGCAGGGGCCACAGGGGTGGTCCCAGGAGGATGAACTGTCTGGGGCTCTGAGATGCACACGGATGCGGGCCCTGCAGGAGCGCTCCTGGGGAGAGGGACCATGGGTCTGTGTCTCCAGGTGGGAAGGCTGAGTTTGTACGGGGGGAGGGGGTGGGGGCTTTGGCTCAGCAGGAACAAGCATCTTCTCAGGGGGACCACTGCCCCAGGGTGGGGTGCTGGGACCTGGAGCTGGCTGGGTCTCCAGGTGGGAGCCACAGCCGGATCTCCGCCTGCAGGGGAGCGGGGGGCGGGTCGGAGGTCCTCTGGGCCACATGCAAGTTTGAATCTAGACCAAAGGTGAGAAACCCAGCCTCTCCCACTGCCCAGTCCCCCAGTGGGATAGTGCAGAGGATTCTTGTCTACACTGCCAGGACCTCAGTGAGGAAGCCAAGGGCCTGTTCCCTCTCCTCTCCAGGGTCCCGCTCTCACCTGGCCCCATTGTGTCACTCCTCATCTTTCCTCTGCCCTCCCCACCTCCCATTCTTACCCCCAAAGCTCAACTCCACCTCTGGACCAGCTCTGCCAAAGCCCCCTCCCCAATCCCTGTGGGCCTCTTGGGCCCAGTGCTTTATCTCTGCACCTCCTTTCAGGTACTGCCGCCGGTTGTCTTTTGACCTCACTAGCCCAACGGGGAAGCCGGGCTCCCTGAGATACAGCTGGGTGGTGGACTCTCCCCAGGGAGCCGGTGTGCGGCGCCCCCTCCTCCCCGCCAGGCCCGGGAGGAGCGGGGGCCGGGCAAGGACGACAGGAGAGCCAGGTGCAGTCCCTAAAACAGGCTCTTTAATAACATTATGTCTTCATTGAAGAGCTTCGCTTTTCCCACCCAGCGCCGGGCGGGGCGGGGGGGCCGGCAGGGTCCAGCGTTGGACGCCTGTGGGCCATCGACTGTGGTCGGGGGGCGGGTCCGGTGGCCCCAGGGCCTTGGCGCCGGCGAGCCCGCCTAGTAGAAGGAGTATTGGTTCTCCACGGCCCGCGTGTGGCCCCGGGCGCCCTCGCCCGGCCCGGCCTCGGGGGGCTCTTCGGCGCCCCCGCCCGCCGCCTCCAGCAGGCGCTCCGCGCTGTTGCTGCGGCTGCGGGCGCTCAGGGGGCCCTCAGCGGCAGGGCGGGGGGCACCGGGCACCGACGCGGCCGAAGACGACGAGGCGGACGAGGACGAGGCGCCGCCGGCCTCCGAGGGCGAGGCGGGCGGGCAGGCGGCCGCGGCGAGGCTGGAGAAGTAGTGCTGGCCGGCCGGCTCGCTCCAGCAGGCGGGCGGTGGGGGCGCGGCGCTGGGCGAGGGCCCCGGGTCTGCAACGGGAGACCGCGGGCATCAGGGCCGAGTCCGGGTCCTTCCTCCTTCCACGCTACCCCACCAGCGTGCAGGCAGGAGCCAGCGCCCCAGGAATGGGTGACCTAGCATCACACAGGGAGGCCCAGACCCCAGATCCCGCGCTGCTAGTTCCAGCCCACCTCCTAGAGAAAGTCCTGGGTATAGTTGGCTGTGGCTCAGACGATAAAGAAATTCGCCTGCAAATGCAGGAGACACGGGTTCGATCCCTGGTCGGGAAGATCCCCTGGAGGAGGGCATGGCAACCCCACTCCAGTATTCTTGCCTGGAGTATTCCACGGATAGAGGAGCCTGGCGGGCTACAGTCCACGGGGTCACGAAGAGTCGGACACGATTGACATTTTGCATTTTTCATAGGTGCGGCGGACATACCAACGCGGAATCCGCGTGCCCCGCACCTTCACTCACCTCTCCCAGGCTGCCTTCTTTACCAGCTCGGCGCTCAGCCCCACCCGTGCGGGATCTAAGGGACTCCACCCACTTCCGGGATGCCCGCGGGCGCCCCCTTCTGCCCGCCAGGAATTTACTCCGGACACGGATCCGCTGGGGCTGTCTCTTTCCCGCCCATCCGGTTGGTCCAGGTGGCTTACAACAGGTACCAGACCTGGCTGGTGCACTTCCCGCGGGGGCTAGCAGGGTGACGTCCTCTCCCACTGCCCACCCATCTGTCTGCCTGGGCGGGGTTAGGGGCGTCTTACCAGGCGGGGGGCCCTGGGCCCGCACATAGCTACGGAGGGTGATGTCGGCAGAGCCCCCGGACTCCAGCGGGATGGGGTGGGTGTGGAAGTGGCGGAGCATGTCGAGCACAGACTGGAACCACAGGTGTTGCACGTGGCACTGCCCGTGGCCGTTCAAGGACAGGCGCAGGTGCTGTGGGCAGAGATGGGTGTGGTCAGTGGGGGGGGTTGGCAGGGGTGTCTTGGGTCCGCCCCCTATTTGGCAAGTGCCTCTGAAGGTCAGGGGGAGGGCCAGGTCTCACAGAGGCCATATGCGGCCTCAGAGCGAGGGCCTCTCACCCGGGAGCCCCATCTCGGGAGGGGGAGGGTCACGCCGGTGGCGGGGATGGGCATGAGGGCCAGGGCCGGGCGGGGGCTGGAGGGGGGGATGCATTGGTCCCTATACAGGGAGCACCTGCATCAGGGCCTTCACGCACCCGCTTCATCCCTAGTCCCCGGAGGCCCTAGAAAGCAGAGATTCCGTGTTTTGTTTGTATTAATTGCTCAGTCGTGTCCGACTCTTTGTGACCCCATGGACTGTAGCCAGGAGGCTCCTCTGTCCACGGGATTCTCCAGGCAAAATGCTCGAGTGAGGTAGCCATTCCCTTCTCCAGAGAATCTTCCCGACCCAGCGACAGAACCTGGGTCTCCTGCCCAGGTGGATTCTTTACTGTCTGAGCTATCAGGGAAGCCCAGAGATTCCGTGTTAGAGATGGGGAAACCGAGGCACGGGGGGGGGGGCGGGACTCACCCACAGCCACTGGCATTGAGCTAAGAAGAGAACTCATGTTGGGGTGATTCTCCCAGCCCAGCTAGGGGTCTGCTGGCCTTCCCTGCCCAGCTAAGGTCCAGAAGGCTGGAAGCAACCCCAGGCTGATTTGGAGGGAGCGTGGCCACAGGTGCCACTCATCCAAGCTGGTGGGGGGGAAGTGGGAGGAGCCCGGGGAACTGGGCCCACCTGGGCCAGGCACCACAGGGAGAGAGAGGGGCCCCAGGCGTGTGGTCTTGAGTGGTGGGTGAGCCACAGGGCTCTGACTTCAGCCGGTTTTTGCTCCATATGTATCCCACACGGAGAAGAGTGGCTGTCCCTGGGGTGTATGTGGCAAGAAGGGGGGTGACAGGAGGGTTTCAGGGTATGCCTGTGATGGGGAGCTGGCCTGGGCACCTACGAACAGGAGAGAGAAGCCCTGGTGGGGAGGGAAGTGTTCCATGGTGGGGCCGGCGCTGCCCAGGGAGCCGGGGGCCGGGGTGGGTGGGGTGCGGTCTGAGCCGTGCCAGCCCAGGCTTGGGACGTTGGCCCAGTGCAGGCCTGGAGCAGGAGTCCTGGGGTGCCCCCTCCTCTGGCGGGGACTGACGGGAACTGTGTCCTGGGAGGAGCCAAGGCTGGGTCTGTTTCCTTATCGGAAACTTGAGAAGAAGGGGGTTGAGGTTCCTGCCCACTCTAACCATCCCTGCCCCCCAACAATCACTGGACTTTCTGTCGTTTTTTGCCTTTGCGCCTTAGGCATTATTAGCACACAGTGCCCTTCCTCCAGAGCCCGCCATCTGGGCTTGGCCCTGCGCTGTCTGAACCACCCTTTCACTAGTCTTCACCTCGAGGACTCCCCATCCATTGAGTGTCTCAGGTCAAGCTCCTTTCCTACTCTGGCTGGTGGGGTCAGGAGCCTCCTGGTGCCCTCTGCCCCCAAAAGCCCTCTTGCCCAACTCCTCCTGCCTGGTTCTCTGGGGCCCACTGTGTGGTTCCCTGCCACACCCCATGGCCTGGTCTGAGCACAGGCCTGGCCCGGACTGGCACCCAGGAGGGGCTGGTGAGCTGTGCTGAGCAGAGAAGAGGGGCTGTGTGGGGTGGGAGGGGCCCTGGTTGACCCCAGCCCCTGTACTCAGGTGGCTCCAGGTGGAGACCCTTAGAAGGGCCCAGCCTCCTGTGGGTTCAGCCACAGGCAGGACCCCATCGGCTCGTGGAGAAGCCACAGCTGGGGCAGCCTGCAGCCCCAGGAGGGAGGCGGGTGACCGGAAGCACAGCCAGGAGGCCTGGCCCGTAGGAAGCCATGCTGCCTGCACCCCCAAGGAGCCTACTGCCCAGCATGGGTGCAGCCTCCCCAAGGAGCCTACTGCCCAGCATGGGTGCAGCCTCAGGGCCACCCCAGGCCCCCCCACTGACCCCGGGCTGGAGGCTTTCCCTGTGTGTGCCCCCCAGCCCCACTTCCCCAACTTGCCTTGGCCTTGCCCTGGAAGTTGAAGGTCAGCACGTACTCCCCGGGCCGGGTCTCACTCTGGCGGATCACAAAGAGGCCGTGGTTCCGGGGCCCACCCGCCAGCACCAGCTGAGCTGCCTTGACCCGCGACAGTGTCCCGTGGAACCAGGGGTAGTCGGAGAGCTCCAGCTCGGCCTCGGCCTGGGCCTCTGGCTCCGCTGTCTCCTCCGCTGCAGAGGAGGGGACAGAGTGAGGGGCGTGGGGACGGAGGGGCCGCCAGAAGGAGAACACCAATGGGTCATCTCGATCAGCTTGTTGGGGTTTTGCAGGTAAGATTCTCTTTGAATAACTGAGAACGAGGCATGGAGCTGACCTGGCCCACTAAATGTATCAGGTAAACTGAGGCACAGAGAGGAGAAAATGGTAGCCTGAGAGGGTAGACTTAAACTGAGAAGTCTGGTTTAGCAAAGAGCTTAATGATAAGAATGTATCAAATGAGGGAATGGGAGCCTCTTGTCTCATTAATAGCAACGAGCCAATGGTGTCTGTTCTCATTCAAGAGATATTAAACGTCCTTGAACCTCATGAACCAGTAACGAAAGTAACGAAAGTTACTGGTAGCCTCGATAGCCCCAGCTGGTGCAGACTTCAGGCTATCTGCTTGTATGTATAACATCAGAAGATGCTTATTTCACAATCACTGAGCAGTTTGCTCTGGAAAAAATTGGTAGGGTTGCTTAATTTCCTGGGGTCACCCTCTTAAGTCAGCAACAAACTTGGGAACAAATCAAGTGTCTTTGTCCCCATCCCCCTGGTTCTAACCCTTGGAACCCCTTTCCGTGAGAGTTTTCTACTTAAACCGGGGCCCATGGGAGGGGTCAGGCTCCTGGCCGGGCCCGCAAAAGCCAAAACTACCGAATTGCTGTGCAAAGGACCCAGGGGGATGAAAGGTCACAGGTTCGGAGGCTCAGGAAGGGCTTGGGAGGGGCCTGTGGGCTGGGCGGGGCCCCGGGAGGGGGGCAGGAAGGGCAGGGCCCCATTGCACCTGTGTTGTTGCTGCCGCTGCCCCCCGGGGACTCCAGGGTCTCCAGGAAGGTCTCCAACGGGACGTGGACCAGGGATTCTCCGACAGCCTCTCGAGCGCGGCTGTGTGGGGCTGTCACCACGGCTGCCGTTGTCTCTGGGGGCCGGGGCAGGTCCACTGCTGGAGAAGCGGCAGGTAAGAAACGTGTGTGTCTGTCAGGCCACCCTGAAGCAACCGCCACCTCCAGCACTGCCCTCCACTGTTCCAGCCGGCTCTGTGCCCACCTACCCTCCGTCAGGAGCTCACAGCTGCAGGAGGCCACGCGGCTGGCCAGACAGCCTCCCCGGGCACAGGAGGGCTCCGCGTCTTCCTCGCTGTCCCTGTGAGGCAAGAAAGCCCAACCGTGTCCGGCCGCGGGACTCTTGACTCCGACCGTGGTCTGCTCACAGAGCCAGGCAGAGGCTGACTGTCCCGCGGCCAGCATCTGCTCTGTCTGGCTCGCCTGGGTCCCTCTGCCTCCGTGTCCCCGCGATCACACCCTCGGCTTGTTCAGTGGCCACCACGTGAGTGACCGGGCCATATGGACAGGTCTCCAAGTGGGCGCAACCATCCCCTAACCAAGAGAGGCTGGCCTCGAGGATCCCACCTAGGACCTCCTCTGGGGGCGGGACATGGGCGGGCGGGGCCTGTGCCGGCCCCGCCCCTCCCTCCCCTCCCCCAGGCCTTTGTCTCCCCAGCTGTGTCGGCTCTAAAACACCCGAAAAGTGAGGCTCACCTTCACGGGGGCGAGGCAAAGAGTGTGCGGAGCAGATGGCTGGGAGGGTGGCAGGGGAGGGATTAGAACCACTTTGGGGATGGGGGGGCGGCGCCTGCGAGGCGCTCCGGACTTTAATTGTGCTTCCTTAAATGAAGCTGTTAATTAGAAAGCAGCAGCCCCTCCCCCCGGGGCTTGGCTCACCCCATTAGCCAGGGGAGCCGCTGCCAACCGCTCAGCCGGCCGCCCTGCCCGCCCCTCCTACTCCTGGCCTGGGGAACCTCTCCCGGATGGCGCAGCCGGGCTCCCTGCTGTCCTTCTGCCCCCGGTTTATTACTAGCCATGGCTCCCCGCTGCCCAGACCTCCCCGCTTTCCCGGCTCTCTCTCGCTGAAGGCCCAGCCTCTTTAGCTCTAACTCCAGCCACCCGAGGGCGCTGACATTCCCCGCGAGTCCCAGGCCTTGGCGCTCCTCCACCGCCCCCAGCCCCCTCTGCCTGGCTCAGGCCCCCCTTTCTTTAAGCCGCAGAGAAAGGGCCCCCCTACCACTACAGCGTCTCTGAACCCCAGGCCTGGATTGGGGGGCCGCCCCTTTGGTCCTCCATCCCTGGCCCTTTGGGCTCACCGCGTCACTACCCATCTATCATCGATCTCCGCTTGGTTTCAGCCTCCCCTGGGAGTGAGAACAAGATGATTCAACTGCCCTCCAGGCCCCCGGACCCTGAACCAACAGAGCCTGCTGGGACTGGAGGTGTGGGGACAGGGAGGGTCCCGGCCAGCACCCACCTGGATTGCACTGCCGTGAGAAGGGCCCATTTCTCAAGCTCAGCTCCTGCCCTCACCAGGAAGCTGCTCCCGGTGAAGGCTCCACCCAGGGCGCAGCCCCGCCAGCAACCCCCCCCCCACGTCTGCCCATCCCAGGGGTCTCACCCGGGGTCTGCGCAGCCCTGGATGTCAGCCACCCACGAGTGCTTCTGCAGGGAGTCGATGGTCTCCAGGATGTACTCTGCTCCATTCTCCACCTGGGGAGGGGGCGACGAGAGTCCAGAGGCTCATCCTGACCCTCCCCCAGGGGGAGACCCCTGGTCTGAGCAGCTGGGAAGACAGTGGGGTCCCCGGCGGAGGGCAGCCCACATGGGCAGCAGCCTCCTCCCCTCCCCCGCTGGGGATCACGGGGATGACTGAGGTCATCCTCGGGCCCCAAGAATGCAGCACACCCCCCCCCACCAGGAGGCCGTGCTGGCTGGGTAAAGGCTGGGGTTGGGGTGGGAGAAGGGCGTGACAATCCTCGGTCTGTGGGGGGTCAGCAGGCCCAGCCCTGAGTGGTGGGCTCACCCGCCTTTGCACCTGGAACTCCGCCTCTGCGGCCACGCCCCAGCCTCCAGAAGGGAAGCAGGAAGAGAAAGCCCGACCCAGTGGGTGATCAGGCACACACACTGTCTGATGAACTCTTCCCAACAGCCCCGGGAGAGAGGTGACACTTTCCCCATTGTACAGATGGGAAGACTGAGGTTCGGAGAGGTCTGCTAAGTGGCTCAGTCACACAAGCGCTCAGTGGTGGTGTTGGGACCCAAACCCAGATCTCTAATGCCAAGGCCTGGCCTCTGAGTTTCTTGTTTAGTAAAGAGCAGTGGGATTCCCATCCCATCAGAGCTTGGAACTGACTTCCACCCTGCTCTGAACTGATAGGGAAACTGAGGCCCAGAGTGGGCCCAGCAGGTGGTTGCCGTGGGACTCCTGAGCCTACTCAGAGACACAGAGGCCACCTGGCTGTCAGGAGCAAAGCTCTGACCTATCTCAGCCAGAAGATGAGAGAGCCAGGCAGGGAGGGGCCGTGTCCTCAGCCCCCAGACTGGGTGACTCAGGGTCTGGGGTTGGCAAATGTTTGTTAAATGAATAAAGGAGTTCATGATTAAACAAACAGGGCCGAGGAAAAACATAAACCCAACTGGGCCACTGGAGAGGAGGCGGGGCGGCTGGGGAGGGGGGCGCCCCTCCATGCAGCTTCGGGTGGGTGGAACCAGGCCTCCTTGGGGACTTGGCCTCACAAACACCCTCTGATTCTCCAAAGAGGCTCGGGGCCACAGCCCTGGCAGCCCAGAGCCGTGTCCTCAGCAACCCGAGCAGGCCACCCAGGCGATGCGGGGCCTGGGAAAAGGACGGGCAGCCCCCAGACTCACTGGGGTGCCTCCCTGGCCACCCTCAGGGCCTTTGTGCCATTGGTGGGGCCAGGCGGGTTCCCACACTCCAGGGCTGGTGACAGGGGCATTTGCATAACCGCAGCAGGCTGGCTACCAGTTCCTGCCTGTGGGGTGGATGCGGCGCGGGACTCCAGTGGGGGAAGGGGGGAGGGAGGAAGTGAAACTCAGGTCCTTCCCCCTGGCCCAGGAGGAAATGGGAATGGGGACCCACTTGGTGGACGACACCTGGGCCACTTGGCTCTGGAGCTCGGGCCAGGATTCACGTCCTAGCTGTGTGCTTGACATCTGTGGAGGGTCCTTGGACCCCCACCCCCCAATCTGGGGCTCCCTGCCCCCACCCTGCTGCTGGCCCTTCACCCTCACCCCCACGAGGGGTCTTCGGGGTCGGGGTGGGGCTCACCTTGAGCACGAATGTGTTGTCCTTCTCTGGCATCTCCAGGGGCATGGTGGTACGGACCTCGATGATGGCCGACAGAGGGATGCTGACTTTGGGCCTGGAGGCCTGACGAAGGGGCGGTGAGAGAGTGGCCCCAGGGCCTCCTGAAGTCCTCTCTCCCCTCCCCCACTCCCAGAGGTCAGAGCTGCCCCCAGCTGAGGATGCCAGGCAGCCCTGGGGTGGAGGTGTCCCAATCCCCATTTCACAGATGGGTAAGTTGAGGGTGTTCCTGGGAAATGGAGGGACATCCCCACATAGTCACAGACAGAGCTGGGACGGACATGGGTCTCCCACCTCCGAGCTCTGAGGGGGGCAAGCTCTGCCCCGGTCACCCTTCCGCCCAGCACACCCACCAAATCTGTGGTTTTTACATTTTTCACCTTGACCTATAGTAAGAAATACATCTGACATGGTGACCCAGTACACACACCTAGGTAAAAATATCTCTGAGACACACGTTTCACCGGATAATATTTACTCTGACTGTGTGTGATGGAGTGTGACATTTTCTATTCTATTCTAGTTCATTAAAAAAAAAAAAAAATTGTCTCCTCCTTCAGATTAGATTTACCACAGTACAGGGTTGGAGACCCTGAGGCGGACCGGGATTCCTGGAATCGGGCAGGGCCGTGTCTCCAGGTGGAAGAAAAGAGGCCAGTGTGGGATTTGACCAAGGTGAGCTGGCAGGACTCCCCAGGAGGGCCGCTCTGTGCCTGCCCCCCCATCCCCGTCTCCTGGCCCTGAGGCCCCCGGGCTGGCCTGAGACAGATTCCTGGCAGAGCTTGAGCTCCGGGACAGGGACTTCTCTTAGGAGGAAAGGGAAGGGCCCCACGTTGGGTGGGCAGGCGGGTGGGGGTTCCTGGCAGTGCTGGCTGCCATCCAGTGGGCGTCAGTCTGGGCTCGGGGTGGTGACTGCGGGCTCGCTGACCACAGCAGGCCCTCGTGCCAGCCGGCCGGGCGGGGCCCGCAGTCCTGGAGCGGGTGGAACAGACAGGTCCAGAGAGAAAAGCCGGACTGGGCTCCTGCTGGCCAGAGGCGCTGAATCCTCCTCCTGGCCTTGGAGGCCCGTCTGCCTTTCCATTTGCTCCAGCTCACTGTTCCCACTTGCGTGGATGGAACTATCAGCCTGTTTCACGGCCCAAGTGAAAGTGTTAACTGCTCAGTCGTGTCTGACTCTTTGTGATCCCAGGGACTGTGGCCCGCCAGGCTCCTCCATCCACGGGACTTCCCAGGCAAGAATACTAGAGTGGGCTGCTATTTCCTTCTCCACTGATGACCCCAGGCCTTGGCTTAGGCAGCCTGAGTCTCCAGCAATGCCTGTCTTGGGGCCCTGTCCACCGGTCAACACTTCTGCAGCCGAGGCTTCTCCTCCTCAGCGCCCCCAGAGCATCCTGCACTAACTCCATTGAGGTTGACCCTCCAGCCCAGCAAATACCAGCTTCCTGGTGGTTCCCCGATGGCAGGGGGCCAGCAACATTGCTTCCTGGGGTCAGGCCTAGGGCTATGAGGGGACCTGGGGTCCAGGAGACTTTTCCTGCAGGGTGGGTGAGGGAGCTGGGGGTCTGACAGAAGGGGCTGTATGAAAGGGCACTCTGAGGGTCCCAGAAACAGTCCCTGAGCCTGCAGACCCCAAGCCCCCATCTGCTCCAAGGGTGCAGCTAGGCCTCCAGGGGCAAGAGGAGGAAGAGCTCTGGACCATGGGTGGGTGAACAGGACTCAAAGGCGGGAGGAGTGTCAGCCGGGGCTTCCTGTGGGGCGCATACATCCTAGACCAAACTCATCTGGGAAATAGGATCTGACCCCTCGCCAGGCCTGCTCCCCCTTCCCACGAAGTCGCTCCTGAATTTGCAAATATTTGCATGAAAAACAGAGGGTCTGAGGCCAGATCAGGGGATAGGAACCCACTGGCCTTTCTCAGAGGTTGGGAGGGTGATCTCTCAGAGGTTGGGAATGTGGCCCCCCAGGAACCCCGCCCTCTGCCAGCGGTGAGCGTGGGCTCAGGAGGGGCTCACGCAGGGGGCACCAGCTGTTGCATCCCCTCCCTCGAGGGCAGCTATTTTCAGCCGGGCAGCTGTGGCTGCCACTCAGGGTGCAGAGGCGCTCAGGCCCTGCCCTGTAGGTGACCCTGGGCAAGTCCCATCCCGCCTCCCACCCTCACTGGGCCTCGGTCTCCCTGTCTGATGAGCGGTGGCGTTGGGCTTAGTGGTCTGTGCTTCTCTCAGGGACCTAAAGGTGGGGTCTGGGCAGGCAGAAAGCCCTTGGGAAGCCTGGGGGGTCCTGGGACTTGGAGAGAAAGTGCTTCAGAGAGTAGTGTGTCCCCCTAGGAAATCTCCTCTCCTATGGCTCATGGGCCCCATACCTTGAGGAGCCCACCCCATCCACCTCCAGGAGAGAAAGGCAAGGAGGAGGATCGGGAGTCCAGGCAGACAGGGGGGTGGGGAAGGAGGCGAGGCTCAGGGTGACTAAAGGCACTAGGGACAGGGAGGGCCCAGAGGTGGGTGAGGGCCCTGGGCATTCTTGGGACTGCCGCACCAGCCGGCCTCCGAGCTCCCAGGACCACCGGGGTGATGGGTATAATTAGCTCAGCTCTGCCACCCACCAGCTCTGTGACTCTGGGCTGGCCATGCCCCCTCCCGGAGTTTCCCCTTTTTCTCTTCTGTGACCTGGGCACCACTGATGCCCACTTGCTGGGGTCCTGGGAGGATGACGGCTCTCAGAAAGCGGGCACTATTGTTAGCTATTCCCCCCTTCCAAACGAGGCAGGTTTGCCCCCTCTTCCCCCCGCCCCGCCCATCCCAGGTGACCCCAAACTGCCCCTAGAGCTTTGTAGGTGATGGCCGGGGGTGGGCGGGGGCGTGGTGTGCTCAGGTGAGCAGCATGCTGCTAAGGGCGAGAAACTTAGCTTCTGAAACCTGGGCCAGAGGGAGCCACCTGGGCCGGGCCGGAGCCTGGCAGCCAGGCAGATGTCTGCTGAGCCAGACTGCAGGCCTCTGGCAGGCCCCCTGAGTGCGCCAATGTCAGTCCTTGCCTGCCTCTCTGGGGAGGCTCCAGCCACCCAGGGGTTCCAGGTGAGGAAGACACGAGTCCAGGCAGCCAGGCTCTCCAGTACTCCCAAGAACAGTACCCAGAACCCCTTCTGTAGCCAGAGGGCCCTTCTGACCCCTCACAGGCTTGAGGGATGCTTGAAGGATGACTTGTGGGGTGGGGGGCCGGCACCCCAGGCTCCTGACCCGGAATACTCCATTTTGCCGACCAGCTAAGACAGAGGGGTGCTGGAAGCCTGGTCCTCCACGATCTCCCAGGGCAAAGGCGGGTGGGCAACTCACCTTGGGCGGCACGAAGAACTCCAGGCGGAAGCGCTCACCCGCCACCGCCCTGCGCAGGAGCAGGCGACACTTCTGCCACTGGGCGGCGCCCCCGGAGCCCGAGGCCGCGTCGTCGGCCACCATGAAGCGCAGCGCGCCCTCGCGCTGGATGTCCACCAGCTCCACCTTGGCCGCCAGCGTCCGCGACAGCCGCAGGCGCCGCATCCACTTGTCGCGCGCCTCGGCCGGGGGCTCGGCGGCGCGCGGAGCGGCGTCGGGCTCGGGGGAGGCGCGCCGGTGCCACATGTCGCGCACGCCGTCCACCACGCACAGGCTCATGTTGCGCAGCGAGAAGCCCTTGCGGACGCGGGCCTTGGCCGCTGCGGTCGCCGACACGTCCTCCGAGCTCCGCGAGTGGCCGTAGGGCGCGGCCTTGAGCGCCGGGGGCCCCGTGGGCCCGGGCTCCATGGCGTCCGGGGGCTCGGCCGCCCCTCGCGCAGGCGCCGGCCCGGCCACCAGCACGCGGCGCACCTCCTCACTGAACACGTCCAGGAAGTTGGCGGCGAAGTGGCGGGAGAAGGAGGCGCCGGCGTCGGGCGTGTCGTAGGCCGGGTTGTCCCGCAGGAAGCGGCAGAACTTGTGCGCGAAGTCCACGGCGGCCGCCTGCGCGTGCAGCTCGCAGAACTGCCGCCAGTCCGGGACCGGCACCGGGACCGGGACCGGGGCGGCACCATTCATGGCTCCCGTCCCATCGCAGCCCCCGGAGGCTGCGGGCGAGAGGAACCGGTGAGTCAACTTCCGACCCCCGGATCGGAGCGCCCACCCGCTGCCGCTTCCCCGGGACTGTGTGCAGCCGCCTTTCCCGGCAGCACCAGTGTGTGAGGACCACCAGGGAGGTGGGACACGTGTCTGCGGGGGGAGGGGGGGCACCCCGCCCCCTCCATTCACATTCACTCTCTCTCCAAACAGCAGTCTCAGAGAACCCCAAGGTCATTCCTGGGGCTGGCGCAGGAGGCCGGGATGACAGGTGCTTTCAAGTGGGGTCGCTAATGAGCCTCCAGCGACCCTCTTCTGAGGGTCCCTAAAGTTTGGAGGACGGGAAAAAGTCATGCACAGTCCTCTTGGCGCTACCCTTGAAATTTGCCAAGAACACCACTCCTCCTCCACTCACTGCTATCCAGGCTGCTGTCCAGGGACCCAAGCAACCCCTTCTCCACCAGCAGTACTTTAGCAGCCTCTTCACTGCCCTCCCTCTGTGCCCCCCCTGGAAATTGATCTTATCCCCCATAGCTTGTTCTCCACCCAGAAACCCAGTCATCATTTCTAAAACGAAAGACAGATCAGGCCCTCTCCTGCTCAGAACCCTGCAATGGCTCCTGCTCCATCAGAGAAAAAGCCACTGGCCCCCCACACCTCCCGTGACCTGCCTCCATCTGACTCCCCGTGTTTATCTCCCACAACTCTACCTGTTGCCCACTCTGCTCAGGTCCCACCCGAGCCCCACCCCAGGGCCTCTGCACTTGCGATTTTCTCTTGAACATGCCTGGAATGTCCTTTCCCTCACACTGCCTCATGTCCTCCAGGTTTCTGCTCAAATACCATCTTGCCTGATAGCTTTTCTTGACCATCACTCTATTTAGAACAAGAAGGTCTCAGGACTTCCCTGGTGGTCCAGTGATTAAGACCTCATACTCCCTCTGCAGGAGGTGTGGGCTGGATCCCTAGTCAGGGAACTAGGATCCTGTGTGCTTACTTTTCTGCAGTGTGTATCTCCATCTCATGCTGTTTATCCATTTACTTGGTTGTGTTGTCTCCCAGGCACCCCACTCGATCCTGCCCTGCACCACACCCTCCCCTGAAAATGCCACCTCCACGAGGCAGCAGTCTTGACATCTAAATGGCTGTGTCCCCAGTGTTGGGCATGTGGCAGGCACTCAGTCAACACTGAATGAATGAATGAACGGATGAATGTGTTCAACACACCAGGCAAGCCACAGCTGTCACTGCCAAGCCCTCACATGGGGCCAGAGAACACACAGCTTGTTAGTGACAAGTCTGGGATTCTCACGCTGACTCAGAGACTTCGAGGGTCATCTCCCAGTGTGGATCCAATATGACTAGCTTTTCACACTGGCCTGGAAGGTGCTGCCTCTTCATACTTCTTACCATTATGGTGGACTGACTACCTTCTCTAATTGTTCCTCCAGTGTGTGTGTGTGTGTGTGTGTGTGTGTGTGTGTGTGCACGCGTGCTCAGTTGTGTCTGCCTCTTATGACCCCATGGACTGTAGCCAGCTCTGTCCATTGGATCTCCCAGGCCAGAATACTGGAGTGGGTAGCCATTCCCTCCTCCAGGGGATCTTCCCAACCCAGGGATCGAACTTGGGTCTCCTGCATTGCAGGCAGATTCTTTACCATCTGAGCCACCAGGGAAGCCCTGTTTCCTCCTGAACCCCATCCAATTCGGACCTTCATGAAGAGGCCCGAATCCAGGAATCCCAGCTTCCGCCTCCTGTCCCCAGGCCCCTCCACCCTTCCTCACTCGGGGTGGCCAGACTGCATGGTGTCTAGTCATCAGAGGGCCCTGCCTCCTCATCCCTGAGTGGCACCCCTCCTGGGGGCACAGGCCATTCATTCTGTTTATGCATCTCCCCCCTGCAACAGGCCAGGGTGAAAATCACTGGAGAAAAAGTGGGGCGATGTGGACCTACCTGCCCTGCCTTGGGGAGCCCCTGTCTGGGGGGGGAGCCGGTGGGTGCAAGGGGAACTGAGACGGGGGGTTGTGCCCTCACCTGCCTTCCCAGGATCCCCACGATTCCCGGCCCGGCCCTTCCCTCGCAGCTCCTGGGAGCACCATCTCATCTGTCCTCTGGGATCCAAGCTGTGTAATTAAACGCTGGATAAAAATAGCTCCCCTACTTCTGTGAGATCATCTGCAGGGCCTCTGGGCCATGGGGCACCGGGGGATTCCCTCTCACCTGGGGGGTGACCTTGGCCTTCGACCTGCACTCCATAACCACAGCACAGCCCCGGGGAGGCAACAGGCCACGTGAGGAGGCCACTGAGCCCGGAGGACAGTTTTCCAAACCAGCAGGTCGCCTCAGAGACTCCCAGCCCAGCATTCAGGGGGAGAGGAGCAGGGAGTTAGGAAGGCTTCCTGCCAGCAAAGGGGACCAAGAGTGACCTCCCTGCAGGCATGAGCAGTAACCTGGAGGGAGACTTTTCAGGACATAGGGGAGGGACTGGGGGAGAAGGCAGGCTTGGTTCACGCTGGGCTGTTCCCCTGCCCTGCTCTTCCTCCCTTCTCATCTGGCTAACGCCCACTCAGCCCTCAAGAATGAATTCCGGGGCCACTTCCTCCAGGAAGCCTTCCCTGACCTCCCCCTGCCTCCCCAGCCCAGGCTGAGCTCCCACAGTCCCCTCCTGTGTGTCCTGCTAGCGAGGTGTAAGGGTAGAGTATCCCAGGCGTCTGTGTCCGCCCGTCTCCCATCTACCACAGGCACTCCTCGGGGGCAGAAGGCGGGCCTGAGTCATATACCAGGAGTGAGGGTGGGGCAGGAATGTGCCTGCCACCATTACTGGGGCCTCGCCTGACCTGGGGTGAGGGGGCCTTTCTGGGGGTGGGATGGGGACACGGGGCCCTGAGGCTGAGGGTGGGAAGCCCGGCCCTGGGCTCCGAGGCCATCCAGTGACCCAGCAAGGTAGCGTTCCCAACAGGGTGCATCGATATTCCCTGTTCCACTGCTACCACCAAGAGGGTCAGACCAGGTGAGAGGGCAGCCTGGAAGGGGCTCGCCCCTTAGCAGGCAGCAGGTGAGGACGCCCCCCACCTGCTCACAGGGCAGCTGGGGGCAGGGAGGAAGCCGGTCCCACAGCCTCGAGCTCAGGCATCGATCCTGTGCCCCGCGTCTTCGGCTGGCCCAGAGTCCTCTTAGCAAGGAGATGGGTGAATGCAGGGACAGGAGCTGCAGGAGAGGCTCTCGAAATGGGGAGGGGGCCCAGCTGGGCCTCACTGGAGGCAGGGGCAGGACTCAGAGAGGAGTCTGCCAAGAGCAGGGGGCGACGGCCGTGCCCTGGGCAGGGGCTGGCCTGGGAAGCGCCGACACTGGCCCTGCCTTGCCCTTCCCTCCTCCCCGCCCCAACCACTTGCTGGCGGCTCAGGAGCCCATGGGCCCGATGCCCGGACCAGCAGCCCTCGATGTCCCCTGGGTCCAGCCGGGGTTGTGCAGAAGTGACAGGGGTGGTACAGCCAGGGGTAAAAGCCACGGGCAGCGGGCCAGCAGGGAGCTCGGCGCTGGTTACAGGCGCGGCTCCCTGTGAAAGGAAGGCTGCAAGCCACACGAGGGGGGCTCAGCGCCAGCAGGGGCACTGGAGCGCTGTCCCCAACTGCCCGGGGGCCCAGAGCCAGCAGAGACAGAGCCGTGACTGCTCAACTGGGCTCCGGGCCTGACGTCTTTGCTCTCTGGGTGAGGGTTGCTGACCTCACCTCCAACTTCTGGGCCTGTTTCCTCACTTTAAGAGTGAGGATGAGGGACTTCCCTGGCACCATAGTGGTTAAGAATCTGCCTTCCAATGCAGGGGACACGGGTTCGATCCCTGGTCGGGGAACTAAGATCCCATAGGTTGCTGGGTTTCCCCTATGGCTCAGAGGTAAAGAATCCACCAGCAATGCGGGTTCGACCCCTGGGTCGGGAAGATCCCCTGGAGGAGGGCATGGCAACCCACTCCAGTATTCTTGCCTGGAGAATCCCACAGAGAGAAGCCTGGCGGGCTGCAGTCCACAGGGTCGCAAAGAGTCGGACGTGACTGAGCCACTGAGCATGCATGCATGCTACTGGGCAACTAAGCCCACGTGCCATGAGAGAGCCCCACGTGCCACAACTAAGACCCGACGCAATCAAATAAATATTAAAAAGAAAATGAGGCTGAGGGACTATGCTTCGCTGGAAGGACAGCACGGGAGGTGGTCTCTGCAGTATTCCAGGCCATGTGTCCCTGTGGGCAGGGCTGCGGCTCCCTCACCTCGGGGTGGACCCCGGAGGCAGGCTCCAGGGACCAGCGAGGGTGACTCCCGATCAGTCACTCTGGAGGGGACCACAGGCCCAGGGGTGGGAAAAGCAGAGCTTCAGGGGGAGGGGACCCTGGAGGTCCCAGAAGCAGGGTGGGTGCCGTCGCCGGCCCCATGGTGTGGGCTGGCGGGCAAGGTTATGGGTCGAACCCAGTGGGCCCGGGGCTCCACCTCCTCCAGCAGCTCCGCAGGAATTCCCTCCTCCGTCTCTGCCTGCGTGGCTGTCCAGCTGGCTGGACCTTCTGCCTCACTCGGCTGACTGTTTAAATTCTGCCCCCTCTCCGGGCTGTGTAAAAACCCTCTCCTCTTCCAGGAAGCCTTCCCGGACACTAGCCCTTCCATCCTGAGCTCCCATGGTTCTCGGCCCTCTTGCTTCTGTGAGCAGGGTCCTCCCCTCCCCCTTTTCTGACCCCAGGGAGCCAGAAGGAACTTGCCCAGTCAGCTTGGGACAGCCATGGGCTGGGCAGTGGGAGATCCGGGCTGTGAATCAGGCCAGGCTGTGTCTCCCGAGCACTTGTCTCCCCATCCATAAAGTGGGGTGCAGGGGCAGTGGCCTCCAGGGGCCCCTGACTGTCGCGGCCCTTGACCCTGAAGGCCAGGGTCCCACAGTCCCTCCAGGGGTGGGACCGGGGACAGGCAGGAGGTTGTCTCTCGCCTTCACGGGCTTCTCC